GATATCACTCAGACAAGAACAAAGTTCCTGCCGGGGGGTTAAAAAGGATGCGGGATACCCGTTTTTTTTTTGCGGGATACCCGTTTGTCTGTTTGATCTAAAAAAATCGAAAAAAGTGTGTTTTTTGAAAATTTCAAAACTCGTGAGATGACGGGCCCGCCGGGCCGGGTCGGGCTTTCGAAATTCGGGAAAAGCCTGGCCCGGCTCGGCCCGGCCCGTTACAAGTATGCTGTACACATCTTAATGAAAAGGGATTCTACCGAATTTTTATTCAACAAAGAAAGAAAAATAGATTGCTCATCTTCTTTTGTGTCTCTTGGTCTTGGTCCTTCCAGTAGTTCCAGTAGTTTCAGAAGGATATCCTCCACCTCGTCTTCCCCTTCTTCCACCTCCACCCATCTCCATATCCCGATCTCTCGCTGCTTCATTTGCTCTTTTCTTCGCTTCCGACTTCTGAGTCTGCCAACAATAGAATCCAATTCCAGCAGCAACACAACACATCAAAATGACCAAACAAAAAACGATTCCAACGATTCCATAAGTGGTAAGAGTCTCCGGTGCTCTAGTTGCAGGTGGATACGGTGCTTGAGTGATGTAGATGATTTCATTAGGTTTATTTGGGGGATGGATAATCTGTGGAGGTGCTGGTGGAGGTGGAGGTGGGAGTGGTGGTGGTAGTGGAGGGGGTTGACCGACTCCTGATCCTAGAAGTCCTCCGATTCCATTGAAGATCCCCGAGATTATTGGCTGGAACATAAAGGATTGGATTTGTTAATGGTTTTGAATCAGGAATTCAGAAATTCGAAAATTCAAAATTTCGAAAATTCGAAATTTCAAAAAAAATTTTATAAGTCTGAAATTCTTATTTTTAATTTTAGACATTTGAAAATTTCGCTCTCCTAGAATCCTAGAATCTAGAATCCCAACCCTTCTGGATTGCTCATCCTTAACCACTTACCCCAACACCAAAAGTTGATTTTGACATCTAGAATTCAGAGAATTTCAAAGAACAAAAAAAACAAAAAAAGCAATTTGCCACTTGCCTCCTAGGCGCGCCTTTTGCCGCCTGCGCCATGAGACACAAATTGAGGAGGGTGGTAAACGCACAGAGGAACGTTGGCCCTCCAGCGCCTTCCAGCGACTCCCCGCGCCACAATCCACCCCAAATAAAAAAATGGTCAAAATGGCAGAAAATTTTTGTATATGATATACAGTATATCTTATCAATCTGTATTCCAGCCAATAATCTCGGGTATCTTCAATGGAATCGGAGGACTTCTAGGATCTGGAGTCGGAAGCGGAGAAAAGAGCAAATGAAGCAGCGAGAGATCGAGAGATGTATATGATGGAAATGGGTGGAAGAGGAGGGCGAACAGGGGGAAGAACAAGAGGAACATCTACTCGAACTAATGGAACTACTGGAAGAACCAAGACAAGAAGACACAAATCTAGCTGAGCAATCTGAACTTGTTGTTTTTGTAGTTGAACAAATTATTGGTCGTGTTAAGATCTGAAAAAAAAGTTTGAAGTATCATTAAACCCGTAAACACTATAATGGAACGAGTCACTTAACTTTTAACTTTCACCCAATTTATCTCGGTTCTTGTGAAAGATATCAGAAACCATCAACTGTTAAAATGTTTATCACAATGTCAGCAACATTTTTACACTTAACTATTTTTTAATATCTTTGACAGGAAGCGAGATATATGAGCGCAAAGTTAAAAAGCGGCGTTTGCCTGCTGACAGACTGCCTGCTGTGAGCTTCGATGCGGCTGCCGACCTCTTAACTTTAAGCCAACTTATCTCGATTCCTGTAAGAGATATCAAAAAGTGATCAACTGATAAAATGTTGCTGATAATGTGATAAGTGTTTTATTAGTTTACTACTTTTTGATATCTTCTACAGAAAGTGAGATAAATTGACTCAAAGCTTGAGCGTCCTTCGGGCGTCCTTAAACTCGTGACGGATGGTCTCGGAACAAAAACTACAGTAACCTGAAAAATGTTCAAATGCAATTTTGTTATCAAAAATAGAATATTTCGGATTATTAAAAAAACATTTTCACTGGCCGATTAGAAAACTGGAACTTTCAGAAAATTCGGTATTCCATATTTCCTCTAATAGAAACTCATCAAAACCGTCAACTTTGAGCTAATTTATCTCGGTTTCTGTAAAAGATATTAAAAAACTGTCAACTGATAAAATGTTTATCATAATGTCAAAAATATTATGTTACTAAACCACTTTTTGATACCTTTGACAGGAACCGAGATAAATGGTCTCGAAGTTGAAAAGGCGGCGCTTTATGCTGAATTACTCGGCGGCTAATTTTGATCCAATTTATCTCGGTTCCTGTAAGAAATACCAAAAAGTAGTCAACTGACAAACTGTTGACTATAATATCAGTAACATTTCGTCAGTTGACGATTTTTTCGATATCTCTTACGGGAAATGAGAAAATTAGATTCAATTTTTTTTCCAAATTTTTTCGGAAGTTTGATATTTCAACGGAATTGAGCACAGATTTTGAACTTCTGGGTCATGACGAAGTTGTTGGTTCGACCCCGCGCGAAGCCAAATTGTTTTTTTCTTTTTTTTTCTTGATATTCATTGAATTCTAGGTGTTAAAACCCCGTTTTCGAATTATTTTTTCCCTAAAAGCAGTGAAATTTTTCTTACTATTAGGTATTCTTCTCTAGAAATTCAGAAATTCAAAAATTCAAAAATTCAAAAATTCAAAAATTCAAAAATTCAAAAATTCAAAAATTCAAAAGTTCAAAAATTCAAAAATTCAAAAATTCAAAAATTCAAAAATTCAGAAATTCAAAAATCCAATCTTTTAGGGGTTCCCTTTAAACTCACAATTAGCGGAAAAGGCATTGACTTCAAATTTCAAATTTCAACTTTGAATTTTCTGTAGAATTCTGAGCCAGACTTTTTGATGGAAAAATTCCAATACTAATCGGAAATTTTCTCTTCTATTGTTTTTAGCCATGACATACAGGTTACCAGGATACCAGAGAACTGGGATGATAACTGGAGAGAGGTCAGGTGGACACAGGTCAACTCTAGAGATAACAGGGTTACTGTATTTGAGGAAAAAAAAAAGGAAAAACGAATTTTCACGTTTTCGTTTTTTTTTCGTCTTCTCCATGGCTCCCATCCCTCTCCGTCGTTGCACCAAAACGCCCTCCTTCGTGTAAGTCTTTTACCTCTCTTAACTATCTGTGCCTTGGTGGTCAAGTGGTAAAGCGCGCGCTTTGCAATCGGGAGCTCGTTGGTTTCACAGCAGACATGAGCGGAATAAAAATTTTGAAAATCCGGAATAAGGAATAAGGAAGAAGGAATGAAATTTAAAAATCAGGAATAAGGAATACGGAATAAGGAATAAGGAAGAAGGAATGAAAAATTTAAAATCCGGAAGAAGGAATAAGGAATAAGGAATTCCGCTCATGTCTGTTCCACAGACACAGGTGATTCGCGCAGCGTCTATAATAGGTGAAAAATTGTTCGCGGAAAGTCGCCATGGGTACATCGGAACATGCCTGCCGCAGGCCATTTACAGACCAATCGCGAACGCGCCACCGCAAACGACCAATATTCGCCCTATCGCGAGCAAATCTCCTACCATTGGCTTGCCGCGAAAGCAATAATTGGCATATATTGTTTCGAATCTGGAAGCTAGCAGCTGCTAAAAATTGTTTATTACACAGAAAAAACAATGAAAAGCGAAAAAACAATTAATTAAAATTTATATTATTCTCTTCCGCTGTTGTCGTACTGGCTGAAACGGCATCGGAGCTTCTCGTTTTGACCATTTTTGCCTCAGTCGATGACGATGAGCAGAAGATGATGTTGATTGTTGTTTCGAAGTAACTGAAATAAATTATCTAGATTTTAAGCTCCCAATTCTTTTTGTACTATACCTCTGACACTAGTTATCGACTGGAAATTTTTTTCGAAATCCGCGAACTTAAAGGTGGTGTACGGTAAATTTTTTATT